AGTTGTATCCTCTCCAGAGTGGAGCCGGCTGACGACTGCAGGAGATATCAGGGAAAGCAGCAGCATAGCACTCAGTCCGTGTTTGCTCTGCTACTGTCCACATGCTGCCCAGTGTCCAAGTAACACTGTGGAGATATGTGTGGGGCTGAATTTCATAACATTTTCACTCCAGTATTTATATATATATATATATACTTATTTTAAATTTGTTTCAGATTTTGAGACAGTTTTACTTCTGGAACCTGGAAATAAGCAAGCAGTGAGTGAACTTTCCAAAATTAAAAAGGTATTCTTTTCACTAAAATATTGCCTGATTTTCTGAAATGTAAACACATGAATTTCTCATGTAATGACCTTGAGACTATTTTGCTCATCTTGGTTCCAAATTTATTTTGAAGGAATTAATCGAGAAAGGCCACTGGGATGAGGTCTTTCTTGATTCTACTCAAAGACAAAATGTGATTCAACCCATAGAAAATCCACCTTCTCCTGGATCAACTGTGAGTATCACAGTTTTCTTTTATAAGCGCCCCACATTTTTGTTGTTAGTGTTATGTTAATAAGATTGGAAATAAACCGCCAATTACTGAGGCCATTTTCAGAATCTTTAAAAAGACTTCCTGGAACAGGGGGAATGCAGCTGGTGAGAGTTCTTGGTAACTTTAAGGGACTTTTAACGAAACAATTTTAAATATTTCTGCATATTTTTCTATGAACGGAAACTGATACATTTGTATATTTCATAGTAAAATATTTTTATTTTCTTTTTTGACTTTGAGCTTGTATTATAGCAGCCTTGAATCTTGTGAGGAGTTAGATCTAAAATTAGCAGTTAAAGCAAAATCTCGTATAAGTAAAATTACCCTGTAAAAGATACAAGGCCTGTTGTTTTGGATAACCCCTGCTGTTACTCATAAGTCCCACCAAGCCAGGCTTATTCTGTGAAACTGGAACAGAAAGCACCAGCCATGGGTGGAGTAGTCTGGTTTCCTGTGTCTTTGTAGTTGAATTCATCCACGTCAAATAATTGTGTGACGTATGCTGTTGAAAACTTGAACATGTACATAGTTGTTTCACATATAAATAATGAAAAAATGCGAACAGGAAAGTACATGAGACCTAAGACTTACAGAATAATTAAAAAGTGAACAGAAAGTTGGTACCGGCCCACCAGAACCTTCTTGTGCCCTCACTGATGGTGGTCTTCTCCCTGACTGTAACTGGGAGGCCTGGATGAAGCTCTGGTAGAAATTGTTTTCTAAGAAAGTCAGGGCAAGTATGTTTGTCCTCCTGACATAAAGGATTCTGGTGCAACACAGATAAGATCACCACCATTATGGGGAGGAAAAAATGTTGCTATTTATTTTTATAATGGGTCTCCATTATTTAAAAAAATAAAAGCTAGACAGTTGGTGTAATGCCTAGGAGATGGGACATGAGCCCCACCGCTGCCACTTTTTAAGCTTTGAGACGTTACCTAACGCCTTTGTGTTCCTCACCTTTTCTCCTTAAGTTGAGAATAACTCAGGTTAGTTCTGGATCAAAAGAAAAAACATCCCTAAATGCTAAGTCAGGGGGAGCAAATGTTAGCTTCATTTTCAGTCATGATTGTGAGACCACGTGCTCACTAAAGAAGCGGTGTCGGGGTCCGAGGAAGGGTGGACACAGGCATGGGGAGAGAGGGCTAGGGCTCACGTACGCAAGGGAAGCTGTAGTTTATTCTTCAAGGGCTGGCAGTTTGGGACTAGAACACTTATAGAGAGAGATCACAGGTGCTCTGATGGCATGGTGGCTAGGCGTTGGACTGCTAGCTGCAAGGCCAACAGTTGGAGACCACTAGCTGCTCTGTAGGGGAAAGGTGAGGCCGTCTACTCCTGTAGAGATGTCCAGCCAGGACAGACACCGAGGGGGCCGTTCGACCCCGTCCTACAGCGAGATGACTCACTGATCGCTGGTGGGTGTGCTTTAGGGGTTGGGTCACGGCAGGAGAGCAAGATGCAAGTTGGCGGGCTTTGGGATTCCTGGTTAGAGGGACGGTCCATCTAGCTTTCCTGACAACTCTGCCTCTCTTGTACTCTATTTCCACTTTACTTTCTCCCTGCTCAAAGCCAGCGTCCAGTCAGGTCTTCTTCCTTAGTTGTTCTCACTCTGCTTGAATGCATCATACAGATAGAGCTAAAGGAAATACCAGGCTTCTGGGTCTTAATCTCTTGAAGTGAATTGAAGCTTTGATAGAGTCTTGGATCTTTTCTATAATGGTATCTTTTGGGTTTTACTAGCATCTCCTCCATCCCATCTCATCTCACCATCAGCCTCTTCTGCCTGGTTTAGCCCACTTAGCGCTCAGCTGCTCTGGGCTCAGGTCTTCACCAGAACTGTGAACTGGGTCACCCCCAGTTAGCTCCCTGGTGAGAACTTGCATTTCCAGCCCAGTTATGGTGAATCAGAGTCCACATTTTAATAAGATCCCCAGGTGGTTGGTGCATGGATCCAGGAGAATCACCTGGGGATCTTATGAAACTCTGGTTTCTGGTTCAGTTTGTCTGGGTTGGAAAGGCAGATTATCAGCAGGGGAGTTGAACCAGAATGAACCAGCTTCAAGCCCTTGCCTATCTACTTAATAGAAACCATCACATAGAACGGTAATTATGATTATGTGTACACATCTGTTATCAATGGAAGACTTGAGTTTTAAAGTGGTGCCACTTTGTCTTAATTCAGTAATTACTTCCTGTCCGGATTTATAGTCTTAGGTAAAACCCCAATGTGTGCTCATTCGTATCTCTTGATAGAAAATAGTTGGTGGTGATAGTTCTCCCTAAGGCAGAGACCTCACGAGATTGTACTTTAAGGCAGAGCTGCTGAGAAGAGCCGCTGGCAACGTTCGTGTGCTCGCCTTTCAGTGTCTACCCGCGTCCAGTACCTGCTCCTTTTACCACGAGATCTTAGCTGTGCTCAGACTCTCTGCTTTTAGAATAGAGACTATCTATGATTTTGATCTAGCTTTTAGAATATAGACTATGATTTTGATCTAGCATTTAATTGTACGGTTAGGATAAACTGGGAGTCTACTGAAGGAAACTTTTCTCCCTTCACTGTGACTGCAGACATACTTGTATAGAGAAGCAGAGACCATGAACTCCCATTTGTATCATGGAACTACAGCCATTATCAGTCTTTTACAAGTTTTGGTAAGAGACTTTTTGTTAGCTGTTTCTTTATCAGTAGCCCTGGTGGAACAATACTTGTTTCTGTAAATAGATTTCTGTTTGTGTACGATAGTGAAAATAGTGGTATGTTTTATTAAAGACGAAATAGTTCTGTACGTAAATTGATGTAGAAATGGAAAATGCCTGACGTTTTTAATGTCATTAGAAAAATCACGATGGTTTCTCAAGAATGCTCCCAAACACTTTCCAAAAGCCTGGTCTCCCCCAGTGTAAACAGCATTCGGCAGAACTTGGCCCT